ATATAGTACTAATTGTCTGTGTCTTACCTCCACCTGGTAAACACTTGGCAAATGGACAGGGGAACTAATTAAAATGGAACATAGGGATACATTGGGATAAAGTACTCACTTCCCTCCTCCGTTAGATGCTCACCCTGTCTTCACTCCTTTAAAAAAAATCATTAAAAACCCACTTCTTCATAAAAGCGTATCACTTAAACTGTTAGTAGCTCCCGACTGACTCCTCTCTTGCAACTGTCATTTGCAATGAACTAATTAACATTTGCAATTAATTAAGCTAGTAACAGAGCAGGAGATAAGACATTCAAAATTAAACAGAATATGTAATAAAGGAAGTGTAAACATTAGATAACTCTTTACAGGAAGTGTTTAGGAAAGTTGTGCAAGGCACATACAGAGAGGTGTGGCTAGGGCTGTATAAACAGAGAATTGAGCAGTGAGACAGCAGGGGGCACGATCTATACATCAAAACCACAGCAGAATTGATCACTAAGCTAGTTTGGTTTTTATATAGAACATGTCTACCAAAGTTGGTTGAATGTGCTTACCTTTTACAGATTTATTGTACAAAATGTATTAACATTAGAAGGGTGAAAGTCTCAAGCATACTACCCTGCGGCTCGAACACTCACAACAGTTGGTGCAGTTACCCACTGTGCTATCTTAAAGACTATTAGAATTTTTACCAACCAACAACTAGATTAGTTCCCAGAAATCAATTTCTCGAAAATATAAAATCTTTGCATAAGTAGCTATTACATAAATAACTCATAAATGATTGCGCTCAATCAGGGGAATTAAATTTTACACGTGGGAATTAAGTTAAAGGAAAACTGTCATAATTTTTATTTATAATTTAAAATAAAATATTACAAGGATTCTAACCTCTTTGGGGATCATATAATATATTCATATAAATAAACACTTTTTTTTTAATGCATCTCTTTTAAAAATGAAATGTGTGCAGCACCTACGTTCAGTGTCTCCACGCTCTGCATAGAGACGCTAAAATTCCCCATAGAGATGCATTTGTTCAAAGCACCTCTATGAGAAGATGCTGACTGGCACAGCGCATTGTTTTGCCGCGCATGTGCAATAGCCTCCCAATGCTTTCCTGTGGAAAAGCATTGGATTGGCTTAGATCATCAAATTTGATGATCTCAGCCATGGAGGTGGAGCCAGCTGCGATGAAACGCTGGAAATAAGGTGAGTAAAATCAAAAAAAAATTTTTTACAGGGGAAAGCGGGTCCAACCACCTAAACAGTGTTTTTATTCCTGACACTATAGTGTTTCTTTAATACTGTGTTTTTTTTTTATTCTGCGAATTAACTCAGGAAAGCATGATATAGGCCCCATATCAGCAGAGACCTAATGGACATGGGTGATTGGGCAGCGGGAGGCGATGATTTACTCAGATGGACTGCGTAATAAGAATTTTATTTAACATCCTTTTTATAGCCATTTCAGGCTGTCAGTATGAAATATAATGTGTGATAAAATCCACACTGATATTCTAAATGTTATTTTTAAGGCTAATTTTGACCGCTTAGTCAACATTTTTCCATGCGGGGGAGTTCTGGAATGGTGTTTAACGTTGGGGTGTATCATGCTATCATTCAGGAGCCTGCAGCTGCACCTGGGCTGGATGTATGTAGGAGTTAATTAAAAATGACAGATAAAGTGTCGGTCCTGATAAATGGCCAAGTAACCAAATTGGTAATGAACTGTTTATTGGTTTAAATGGTCTATACCATTACAGCAAGTGTGCCCAAAATGCAGATCACTAGATGTTACTGAATAGCCATTCCCATGGTGCTTTGCAACCTTTTTAACGTGAAAGCTTTTTTATTGTAAATTTGTCAAGAAATAGATGGGAATATTGTAATGAATTTGTACTATCGATAAAAAGGAAGAAAATTGTGGACGATCATCACAAAAAATGTGAAAGCAAATTGAAAGCAAAAGGTATTTATAACAAAGTAACAAAAGTAATAGTGCGTAGTGATGTCCTGAACGGTTCGCTGAACGGTTCGCCACGAACGGTTCGCCGCGGACTCATCATTGAGTAAACTTTGACCCTGTACCTCACAGTCAGCAGACACCTTCCAGCCAATCAGCAGCCGACCCTCCCTCCCAGACCCTCCCACCTCCTGGACAGCTCACTAAGAATGCAGCTTCACAATGGATGCTGTCCAGGAGGTGGGAGGGTCTGGGAGGGAGGGTCTGCTGCTGATTGGCTGGAATGTGTCTGCTGACTGTGAGGCACAGGGTCAAAGTTTACTCAATGATGAGTCCGTGGCGAACCATTCGCGAACCGTTCGGGACATCACTAATAGTGCGTATGAACAAAAAAGATCATTTAATTAAGTCTCGGTTTATTTTCTTTTGGATAAGCAAATTAAAACTAACAGAATCTTTTACAAAAACTTTTCAAATGCGTTATTTACAAATATTCCTTTAATGGTGACCTCTATAAATCAATAATTTGAAAGGTTTTTCTAACATATCGTGATCATTAGAAAATCTTATTGAAAATAATCAGTGGCATCAGTGTGTTAAATTGGGGGAAGGGAGAGGAAGGACAGTGTATTAAATTGGGGGAGGGAGCAGTGTATTAGAGTGGAGGGAGCATCAGTGTATTAGATAGGGGGGAAGCAGGGGTCAGTGTATTAGATTGGGGGAAGGAGAGGTCAGTGTATTAGACTGGGGGAGGGATGGGTCAGTGTATTAAATTGGGGGGGGATGGAGGGGAGGCAAAGAGAGATCTAATGTTTACACTTCCATTATTGAGCAGTATGTTTATTTTAGAATTTCATACCTCCTGCACTGTTAATAGCCTCCTGTGTGTGATTAATGTTCAATTTACAGAGTAGGAGATAGAAATATCTAAAGCAAGTTAATATCTGATTGAATGAAAACCATTTGTCTCCTGCAGGCTGTGTGAGTTACAACCTGGTTAGGGAGGCATAAATAGAAACAACGTGTTTTAACTCCTAAATGGCAAATAATTTAACAGTGAGACTGCAGGGGCATTATCTATACACCACAATGGCTTCATTAAGCTACAGTTATTTTGATGCATTTAGTGTCCCTTCAACTTCAATTTCTATAATAGCTGTTATATTTCCAAAATAATATCACTTTTTGAATTAGGTCATTAGATTTAGCTGCATCTTCATGGGTGTCCAAAAGTATTTTATGCATGCGATGAACTATAAATCCCATGATTCAGAGCTGGAGATTAATTGTTGACTACTCATATGTTCAAGAATTGAAAGTCTAAGCACCATGACCACTACATTGTGCTGTAGTGGTTATGGTGCCGCAGTGCCTTGGCACTCCTCCAATGTAAGTAGTCAAATCATCTTCTAACTGTTCGACTTCTTAACTGGAATCTGCTGGGTTAAGAGGCCAAGTGTGAGGTCATGATAAATGTCCTAATGTTTTTCGGGTACAAGAAGTTAAGTTCCTGTGAATTACATAAGAATCCTATTTGTGTGGGCAGCCTCCGTATATTCAGATACTGGCAATGTTTTTCCAAAACACTGTAATGGCACATTCTCTGTGCAAGAAGCATAAATACAACATACACACCCTTATTATTTATTTTATTCTTTCTTAAAATAATTTTGAGAGATTTCAAATGCAGTTATAACTAATTATTTATCCTGATTTCCTACAGAGTCTAAGTAATAATAAATTACAGTGAGGATAAGGCTTACCCCAAAACCACACCATTAACCGGAAGTTGTTTTGGGGCTTATAGTGTCCCTTTAAAGTTGGCCTGACCCCATATCAATGCACCTCACCCCTTTCAGTCCCATTATTATGTAATTATACTGCCTCTATACCCTGTTCAGATCAGTCACATCTCTGCATGTCCGCTCTGGTCATTGATTTTATTAAAGGACACGGAGGCTCATATTATGCTTATCTCTTTCTTTATTATACCTCAGCAGCAAAGAGAAGGTATAAACATTCATAGAAAAAAAGTTTTAACAGGTTCTCCAAGGGTTAACCCAACATCATACCCTTGACCAATAGGAACAGTCCCTCTATCTATAACTACTCATGTGACCTTTCCTCTCCCTCTCTCTTTGCTGCTGCCTCAGCTAAGTACCATCTAATTTTCGCTCTCCTCAGAGCACCCTCTTTAGATTGTTATAGCATATTTTGTTTATGTGTCATTTTTCTAGTGTTTTTTGCAAATGTTAATGAGGTTGTATGGGTTAATCCTCCTGCTCTGCTAGAGCCGGCGCCTATCTGCCCCTGGTGCAGATAGACGGCTTCACTGGGGTTTCCCCCCCCCCCGCGGCGGTTACCCCCCCCCACACCTCACCGGGTAGTTTATTACCCGTTCCTCTTTGTCCTCGGCGAGCCGCGGCGGCCGTTTCACGGCGCGAGCGCTCTGAATCCAGAGCCCGCTCGCGCATGCGCAATAACGGCCACTCGGCACGGCGGCCATTTCCAGCAGCCGGCCGGGTCTTTGCCGCGCTTTTTCTGCGCCCGCCCCTGTACCTGAGGGCGGGCGTTCACAGACTGGCTACCGGCATTGGCTGGCAGCTTACCAGTGCTCCCTGGCGGCCATTCCGGAGGGAACACTCGGTAAGCTGACAGCCTTTGTTTGTGCCTGCATCCCATTTGTATTATTAGCAGAGCTCACTGCCCAAAGTAGTTATTGCTGTTTTAGTCCCTGCATAGGGTCACCAGGGGCATTTTCTCTTGCACATTGGTTCCAGTCTGGTACAATTTCACTGTGTCACTCAGTATACCCTGCCATTTCTGTTTAACTGGTTCCACGTCCCAGGTGTTTTTTTTGTATAACCTACCTGTCATGCAACACCTCAGGGACCAAGGGGTTTCCACCCCCACTGATATCAGTAAGGACACCATTCACCACGTGCCCCAGGTAACACGTCCATGCTCGCCACTGAGAGAGGACGTGGCATCCATGGATCAGTTGAACTCGGAGGAGTTTCACTCACTTCTGGATGCGACCATGACCAAGTCGGTCACCCAAGCTATAGTCACGGCTATGGGGGCGATGTCTGAAACCCTGACACAATCCATTAGTAACGCCATACTGGCGTCTAACAACCATCCCAGCGGCCTCCGCCCCATGGCCCAACCTGACAAGCCTGTGCCCTTCAGTGGCCGTAAGGCTACGGAGAAGACCCACCATATGGGCAAACACACCTCCAAAAACAGCACGACGGACAGGACACGCCCTGTCACTACTGAGGACGTGGGGCCCCCACGCAAAAGAGCCACCCACCGGGCAAAAGCGGTGAGGACGTGGAAATGGGCAAAAGCCCAGACAGAGACATCCGACTCTGGTTCGGACATAGAGGAGGTAATGAGTGAGTCCGAGGAAATCGGCTCGTTGGAATCAGGGAACTCTTCCCCTGAGCGCAGCCTGGCAGTCATACCAACTAAGGGAAAAGCGCCCATGGATGACTCCATCATCCTAGACCCCCAGGGCGAGCCCCTATTTAACCCAGACGACCTACAACACCCTAGGTCTACAGACTGGTTCCCAGCTGACCATGTGGCCCAATATATTGCGGCCAGGATTAGGAAGCCCCTGGATAAAACGACCAGGAATAAGTTTAGGGCAGAGTGCCCACGCCCGACGGTCCCTGATATGGCTTGCGCCACACCAGAGGTGGACCCCAAGATTGCCCAGTTCCTGGGTAAGGCTGGCTGGAAAGCCAAAAAAGGGCTAGACTACTCCCTTCGCCACTGCCAGGATAAGGTGCTCGACTTCTTGGGCCCCAGCGCAAAAATCTTCGACTTGGTCGAAGCGACAATCTCAGGTGGCGCACCGCTAGACCCCTTAGTGATCCGAGAGTGGGCACAACGTTCTATCTGCCTCATCGGCAACTCCAATGCCGCACTTAGTACTGAGAGGCGCAAGGCAATTCTCATGAAGATAGACCCCAAGCTGGTCAACATGGCCATAACCGAGCCTGGACCCCAGGCAAAAGGCCTCCTTTTCGGAGACAATTTTGTAAAAGAGCTGGGCAACTACGTGAGCATATTTACAGCCCTGGATAAGGCACAGACAAGCCTGAAACGGGTGTTCTCCCCGAAGGTTTTTGGAGGGGCTGGCAGGTACAGGGGCTGCCTGTCCAGCCGCCCATCACGGAGCTCCCACCGGGGCTACCTGGGCCCCACGACACCAAGAGTCCCACAGACGGAGACCAGAACCCCCACACCTTTCTTCCCGGTCAGGGGCAGATCGTGGCAGCCCAGAGGTCACAGGGGTTCCACATACGGCCGACGACCTTATGGTAAGTGCTTTCCCCTTCCCCCTCTCTCGTACCTCACACGTGGGGGGGCAGACTTTCCAAATTTATCGGGGCATGGCACAGACTCACGTCCGATGCCTGGATTCTCGACACAGTAGCAGGGTACCATATAGAATTCGTCACAGACCCAACCCAATCCGCAATGCCACGGCGGATGGTGTTCACCCCTCAGGACAGAGAACTTGTGTCGAAGGAAATCAAAGCACTGGCGGAGAATGGTGCGATCTATCAGGTCGCACCTCACTCCCCAGGTTTCGTGAGCAATCTCTTCCTGGTCCCCAAGAAAGGCGGTGGGGTAAGACCAGTGATCAACCTACGCCCACTCAATGCGTTTGTAAGATATCATCACTTCAAAATGGAAGGGATTCATTGCCTACGAGATCTTCTCAGGCTGGGGGATTGGATGGTCAAACTAGACCTCCAAGATGCATATCTCACCATCCCCATTGCAAAGGAGTGTCAGCATCTCCTACAATTCAGTTGGGACTCTCAGACATGGAGGTTCCAGTGCCTACCGTTTTGCCTATCGTCAGCACCATGGTGCTTTACAAAACTGCTGAAGCCAGTGGTTGCGCTGCTGCGCAGCAGAGGGGTTCGCATGATCATATATCTGGACGATATGCTGATCATGGCCCAAGACACCCTACTACGACAACAACACTTAGATTGGGCAATAACACTACTACGAAACCTGGGATTTCTAATCAATTGGGAGAAGTCGGTACTAATCCCCTCCCAGTCCTTAGAATTCCTAGGATTCGAGATAGGGGCGGTCTTAGGGACCCTAAGCTTACCACCCACAAAGCTGAAAATCATCAAGAAGGAGATCCGCAGAACATTGGCTCGTCCAACACTCACGGTCAGACAACTAGCCAGGATAATTGGACTCCTTTCCGCTTCCATACAAGCGATCTTCCCGGGACCCTTGCACTACAGGGCCCTGCAGCGACTAAAAGCCGCACAACTACGCTCAGGACACTCCTACTCAGACTCTGTGCCACTCGATTACACAGCCAAGGAGGAGCTCCGGTGGTGGCTGCAGCACATGGAAGCGTGGAACGGCAGAGCAATCTTCGGCAACAACCCAGATTGCGTAATAGAATCAGATGCCAGCACACGGGGCTGGGGAGCGCGCTGTGGACATACCTCCACAGGCGGAAAATGGTCCCAATCAGAGAGGACACTACATATCAACTGCCTGGAATTAATGGCAGGATCATTCGCGCTGAAGAGCCTCCTGGGCCCCGCGACGCATTGCTCCATCATCCTGAGAATGGACAACGTATCAGCCGTACAGTACATCAACCGCCTCGGCGGCACCAAGTCCAAAATTTTAGCAGACTTAGCCACAGAATTTTGGCAGTTTTGCTTAGAACGCAGCATAACAGTGCGAGCCGAATACATCCCGGGACTTTCGAATACCATAGCAGATTGGAACTCCAGACATCTGCGGGATACCAGCGATTGGCGCCTGAACCGAGAGACGTTCCTACGATTGCACACACTATGGGGTCCGATGTATATAGACCTGTTTGCGTCACGGTTGAATACACAACTCCCGGAATTCTTCAGCTGGAGACCGGACCCAGACGCGTTAGCTACGGACGCATTCCTACAACCATGGCCGAACAAACGACTATACGCGTTCCCTCCGTTCGCCCTGCTAGCACGAACACTAGTGCACCTCGACCGCGCACGGACATCCCTAGTCCTCATAACCCCATTCTGGACTGCACAGCCTTGGTTCCCTTTACTCATGGAGATGTCCGTAGATCTCCCCAGAATGCTGCCCGAGAACCCACGTCTCCTTTCAGACCCAGATGGGAACCCACACCCTCTGATGGCACAGGGACAACTCAGGTTGTTAGCGTGGCTCCTTTCCGGGGACCCTGGGTCGTGCCAAATGTTCCGCAAACAACTCTCGAACTTCTGGCGGGAGCCTGGGCTCCGGGAACACGACGATCCTACTCTAAAGCCTGGAACATCTGGAGGGGTTGGTGCATGGAACAACACGTGGATCCCGTATGTGCCCCTGTAAACCACCTGTTGTGTTTTATTACACATCTATACGACCAGGGACTTGCGTACCGGACCATCAATGTATACAGGTCAGCTATCTCGGCTGGACACAAGGGTATAGAAGGACTCCCAGCAGGCAAACATCTGTTGGTATGCAGGCTCTTACGCGGAATTCGATTGGCAAGACCACCACGACCCCGATATAGTACAGTATGGGACGTGAATGTGGTCTTAAATCTTTTGGAACAATGGCCACAGAACTCTGACCTCACATTGAAACAACTTTCAGCGAAACTGGCCATGCTCTAATGCCTAATATCCTGCAAAAGAGTCTCGGATGTCCGGGCATTGGACGTCGACGCACGCACGTTCACTCCAACGGGAGTAACTTTCAACATTTCCAGACGTACTAAATCAGCGACATCATCAGTATCATATCCAGCATTCCCGCACTACAAAAACCTGTGCCCAATAGCTTGCCTCAAGGAATATGAAACACGGACACAGGCATTTCGAAACTCTGGACAGCATGAACTATTTCTAGCCGTCAATTCACCACACCAGCCAGTATCTTCAATAACGCTAGCCCGATGGGTGAAGTGGATAATGACCCCTGCAAACATAGATACCTCAGTATATGGGGCGCACTCCACTAGAGGAGCTATGGCATCTAAAGTATTCAACTTGGGATGCAGGCTGGAAGATTTGTTACGGACGGCAGATTGGTCTCATGAATCCACCTTTAAGGAATATTATTTTTACCCTACAGACCACGTAGCATCAACAGTCATTGCACAGCTTTGAACTAGCATAATATGAGCCTCCGTGTCCTTTAATAAAATTACCAGATTTTACTAATTACATGACGTAAAGTCATGATTTTATAAAGGACACGGAGGCGAATATTGGCCCACCCGGTAAGTATATCAGGCCTATATCGGCGAAAGTAGAGTGAAATTCCCACCCAATAAACAATAAAATAAGGGTCATTGTGGTGTCTTCTTTCGTCTCGATTTAATTCGTTTATTTAGGACAACTGTTTTCTTTTTATATACTAGTGAGTCTGTAGTACCTCAGGCATATGCTAAGATTTAGTCACGTTGTGACAAACAGTTCCTCAGACCACATTTTACCACTTTTTTCTCTATCCCATTACAGTTTAATTCGCAATACGCGACACCCTGGATGACCAGTTGTCACCGCAGTTCACGCAGACAAGTTCTTACAAGTTCGGGATATGGGAAAGTTCGACACAACGGATAAAGTGTTCCAGTGTCTTCTCAAGTCATAAAGATACAGCTTCGGCATGACCAAAGAAAGAGGGAGAGGAAAGGTCACATGAGTAGTTATAGATAGAGGGACTGTTCCTATTGGTCAAGGGTATGATGTTGGGTTAACCCTTGGAGAACCTGTTAAAACTTTTTTTCTATGAATGTTTATACCTTCTCTTTGCTGCTGAGGTATAATAAAGAAAGAGATAAGCATAATATGAGCCTCCGTGTCCTTTATAAAATCATGACTTTACGTCATGTAATTAGTAAAATCTGGTAATTATCTTATAATTGTTATTGGAACCTTTGACAAGACTCTGTTGATGGACCAAGTCACCACTCAAGTCACATACTCATTTTCCTGGCACTATAGTGCCCTGAGGGTGCCCCCACCCTTAGGGACCCCCTCCCACCAGGCTCTGGAGAGAGGAAGGGGTTAAAATCTTACCTTTCTCCAGCGCCGGGCGGGGAGCTTTCCTCCTCCTCTCCTCCTTCCTAGCGACGTCATCGGCTGAATGCGCATGCGCGGCAGGAGCCGCGCGCGCATTCAGCCAG